CAGAGTCTGCGTCTAAAAACAGTACACGAACAAGAGTTGGAAGCATAAGCGCCAAATCGTATATGAACGTGTCTGCATTACTACAGCGCAGCAGGTAACATAGAGAGAGAGAGGGGAAAAACCGCCTGCTCACTGTTATAGCTTGCTATAAGAAATACAATGAAACACAGTGAGCTCTTCTAATTTGTTTCAGCTCAATGCAGCAGCGGAGCTGAAATAAATAGTAATTAGTCGGGCAAACTAATGCTTGGTAGCTCGAAGCGCCAAAACCATTGTGCACGACTTAACGTCCTAAAAATCAGTGCCTCTCATGTTGTTTAATAAACTTGAGAAACACTTGATCCAGGGAGGGAGTAGAGCAAGAGGTTTTTATTTTATATCAGTAAGCTCACCCCTTAACCCATAGCTTATATCTACAGCTTGTGTCGCCTGCGAGCTTGAGAGCCAGAGGCTGCTGTAGAGTACGCATCATCTAATCCGCAGCCAAAAGAATCGATTACGAGCTTCCGGAGCGGGAATCAGATTTGACTAACCACCTGACTCACGAGGCGCTCTTCTGATGAACGCACGCAGTCTGGGGAAGAGAGCCAGAGAGAAGGGGACTAATTCTGTTCTCTCACTCTCTGTACACTCGGGCTCATCGCCGTCACCCCAAGCATCGAGCTCGTGCGGCGCCTCGCAAACCGCAGAACTGAAACAGCGGGGGTTGAACGAACATCTCTCCTTACTCAGAAAGAGAGCAGCCCAGAGCGCAACTTACTCACAAACACAGATATCACGGAAACAACAATAGATAAAGACCGCAAAGCGGTCTTCCTACCTGTTTCCTCGTGAGTCTGTGTAACACAAATCTAGCTTCAGACATTCCTCACACCGGAGATGTTCCCATAGCGGTGACGTCATCGCAGCATTGAAGTGAACCTATGAGAGGGAACACTGCTTTATCAGACATTACATGCAAGATTAAATGAAAATGACATCCAATTTTCTGAAGACAGTCGGTTTCTTACATCATTGTCCAGTATTGTACTGTCAGCAATGTATTATAAATATAATAATAATAATAATTGTAACATACATATTTACATACATAATTATTCAGGTGCATGTGTAATAACTTGCGAAAACTTGAGGCTACAGCAGCACTTCTTCTTCGTCTTTGTCTTGTCTGACTCACTCAACCAAGCGTTGTAACCACGACCTCGCCCCTCCCCACCCCCCAACCATTCGAATTTCCGTAGGCGGGAATTATTTTAATGATATTCTAATGAACCGCTTTGTGATATCACAAAACCCCGAAAACAAAGCTGTAGTCAAAACGAGCCGTTCGTTGTAGTTCTTGAAAAGGGATTTTTAAAAAACGAAATATCTCCCTTTGGAGTGGACTTTGAGATTTGTAAGTTTGTAGATCTTTTTTATGCCCAAACATACACACTACACACTGACTAAAATTCAAAAAGTGAAAAAGCATAATAGGACCCATTTAAACACTGCAGAGCAGGGTGGGGGAAATGTAATTCAATTTTTAAACAGAAGGGGGTACTAAGATTCTTAATAAAAGCTGCCACAACTAGTCTGATAATCAGTAAAACATTGGTTCTCAACCAGGGCAAATTCACAAGACTACTTTTATATTAAATCTAACTTAATTAAAATGCTTCAAACTAAAATCAAGATCTATACCAGGTAAACGGACATCATATTTCTCACTCTGGTGAAACAACACATCTGAGGTCTCACTTAGACAATTTTGATCACTGCAACAACACAGCTGGATTGTGCAGAAGGGCTTTGAATATTGTCTTGGACAATGGGGTTCAAAATCAAAGAGTTTGAGAACCAGTGGTATAGCATATTCTTTTTCTGGAGGAAAAAACAGGTAGCCTATGGCTGAGTGATAAAAGCTGTGGCCTAGGGCTAAACTACTCTTCAGCATTTCTCAACTGCCTTCATCCCTGCTCTGCTGTAATGCAACTCCAGGAATACCAGGATCAATCCATGGAAACAAAGAAACGATCTATCTATCTATCTATCTATCTATCTATCTATCTATCTATCTATCTTATGCAGAGTGCATAAAAATGAACAAATGTTACCATACAAACACAAAACGAATGCTACTATACTGGGCATATGACTGAAACAAAATCTAATACAATAACTGACTGATTTTGTCCAGATTTAATGTGTTAGATGTATGACAACATCACACAAAGGGCGTCACAAATTTACATAGGCCAAGTGTTTATCATAATTTGCATTAATAATTTATAACTTCACATGTAACAGTGTAGATCTATTAGGCTTATATTAATATATTTATTAATTTTATAAAATTGCATTTAAGCAACATTTAACAATAAACGTCGTTTTACGATTTGAAGCACGTTACTAAACCAAGAGAAAGAGCGCAGGTGTTTGCAGCAGGCATTGTTTTACATAAGAAACGGCGAAAAGCACGTCGAGGAATTTACAGACATGTTGAGACAAAGATTGTGTCATTTGTTTTAGTAGATGAGTTTGTGCAGAAGGCATGTTTAGGAGCTCATGGATAGTGCTGCAGATATCTGCTGAGACGCTGCACACTGGAATGTGGAGAAAGCACAGGACTGCACTGACACTGCTCGGTCTTTCTTCAGTGTAAGAGTTTGCAGTCAGGCAGTAATATCCTGACCCGCGTGATACGACACATAGTTGTACATCGGAATTTTTTTCTTTTTAAAAAAGTTTGATAAATGTGTTTGATTACACAATATCAGATTGACGATACTAACGTTGCAGTTGTTTGCTTTGCAGCACACGTGCAACGACAGATATTACTGTCCTCATGCCTGTCCTTTGTTACTTGATCGCCGTTATATTTATATTTTATATAGGCCTACATAATTTTTTCCATTAATAATAATGTGACATTCATTTGCAAATAGCTACAAACATAATTGGAGATATTTACAAATCCGTAAAACAATTTTAAGTACACTTTGCTGGTGCTAGCCTGAGCAGCTGTGTGTTATACTGTGAGGCGTTGAGTTGTGATTGGTAAACTCGATTTCCTGGTACACACATGATCTGAACACTGTTGAACATCCGCATCTACATTTCTGCAAGACGAGACTAGGCGGTAAGACACTTTTACTTTACTTTATCACTTTAGTAACTCTCTAACTTTGTTTGCCGTGTTAGAAACAGCTTGTTTCGCAGCAAAGAAGTGATGCAAAGATGTAAACAATACAAAAATGCATACAGAGTCAAACGTTTTTTTTAGGATGTAAGGAATAGGTGATCTTTATGATTTTCATTTTCTGATTGCCTTTCTCAAATGGGAACACTGAACTAGAGTTTTGGAGTAACTTGCAGATTTCTCTGATTTATTCTCAAGATTTCAATTCACAGTTATATCATACAATTGTATTCTTAATTTGACAGGAATATGTGCTACAATATACTATTAATATCTGGCTTTGATGATAATTTCATTAATAAACTGCCACAAAGACAGTATTAGCCATCCTTTCACGTTCAATGTACTTTTTTGGTAAAGTTGTAGGCAACCACATCCTCTTGTAACGAAAAGACTAAACTGAGATCCTGTTCTGACTGGCTCCTGTGACACCACAGACCCTTACTGACATCCTTTATCACTCTATAAGTACGAATATGAATAAATGGTAATAAAATTGAGCATAATGAACAAATCCATATTGCTGTTTAAAGGGTTAGTTCACCCCAAAATGAAAATTCTGTCATTAATTACTCACCCTCATGTCGTTCAAAACCCGTAAGACCTTCGTTCATCTTCGGAACACAAATTAAGATATTTTTGATGGAATTTGATAGCTCTCAGACCCTGCATAGACAGCAACGCAACTGAAATGTTCCCAGACAGAAACGTAGCAAGGACATCGGTAAAACAGTCCATGTGACATCAGTAGCTCAACTTCAATTTTGCGAAGCTACGAGAATACTTTTTGTGCGCAAAGAAAACAAAAATGATGACTTTATTCAACAATTCTTCTCCCCCGAGTTACTGTCTTCCGCCATTTTGGAGAGTATCACAACGCATATGCACGTTTTACCCTAAGTGTAAACAACGCTGATTACGCCAATTACGTTCATGTGCGCGCTTCCCCCCCTAATGTAAACAATGCTGATTACGTTCTTGGGTACTCTCCAAAATGGCAGAAGACTTAACTCGGGGAGAAGAATTGTTAAATAAATTGTTATTTTTGTTTTCTTTGTGCACAAAAAGTATTCTCGTAGCTGCATAAAATTAAGTTTGAACCACTGATGTCACATAGACTATTTTAACGATGTCCTTACCACCTTTCTGGGCCTTGAATGTGGTAGTTGTGTTGTTGTCTATGCAGGGTCAGAAAGCTCTTGGATTTCATCAAAAATATCTTAATTTGTGCTTAATACTTTTATTTAGCAAGGATGCTTAAAATTGATCAAAAGTGATGATAAAGGCATTTATAATGTTACAAAAGATTTCTATTTCAGATAAATAGTGTTCATATCGATATCGGAATTATATCGTATCGACCGAAATTAAGAAATATATCGTGATATCAATTTTGGCCATATCGTCCAGCCCTAGTCTTACGGGTTTTGAACGACCTGAGGGTGAGTAATTAATAACAGAATTTTCATTTTGGGGTGAACTAACCCTTTAAGGGACAATGTACAGACAGTCTGAAATTATCACAAAAAATATTTTGGAATTATAAGCAATTGGCTGTACATTATCCTACTTATTATGCTGCAAGGACATAAAACATTAGCTTGTGGTCATTATTCATAAATATTTGAGTGCTGAAAGTTGCAATTGACCAATCACAACCAAGTATTCCAGAAAGCTGTGCATAAAAAAAGAACATTAAAATAATAAAATATTTGCAATTAAATTGTCATAAATGCCTCTTTTTGGCATTTGACTATTAAAGTATGAGTAATTTTTACTTGTGCATGGATAAGAAAATTGATTTAAAGTGCTGGTGAATCACTGTTCTCTGGTCTCTAGTGCTGGTGTTTTAATATTATGATGGTGTTGTTGAGTGTCTTTATAGCCAAACTGGTGTGCTTTCATCAGCTCGAGAAATTCTGTTACAGTTCTATTGTAGCCTCAAGAGAATTCGGATATGACGTGCGTTTTTCTGAAAGCTCTTTTTTTTTTCAAATGAGTGGAAAATTCTCGCAGTGCTTTTTAGCCTCATATTAATGAATGCAGTAGATGACATACGTACGTCATGGTGCGTCACTGAGCTGATAAATAGCCAATAAAAGGTAGTGTGAAAATGATTTTTGTAGCATAAACTCTGTAGGTATTTTTTAGTACTCTTCATTCTATCTGAAGAGCTAACCCTTTTTTCCACACAAATAAACAAGAGTTTCTGCAGCCTTCAATCCAGTCACTTATGAAGCAGCCAAAAATATCACAATGTCTGACAGATCCGTAAAGGGGAAGCTCTGTGTATTAACTGGCAGACTTCAATAAACATGATCTCTGTCTATTGATCAAGACAGCCCTTTCACTTCCTTCTTGGGGTGTTTGTTGTTCAGGCCTAGGCTTGCGCAGAACTTCCGGAGTAGAACAGAGCTGCTGGATTCAGAACAAGCCTCAAGAGGAACTGTTCAGAACTACGCCAAAGTGCTTCTGTGTTTATATGGTTGTTTAAATTTATTTGACTTTCAGACCCAATTTGTGAGCACATTCGGACAATATGTGACAAGCTCCATATTGCTTAGAGCGTGTCACTGATCTACACCAAATGTGGTTGAAATGAGAAGCCTACTCGTGCTACTTCCTGTTTGTGCAACAGTTTCCAGTCATGCAGATCATAAGCAAAGAGATCTTATTTTGTATGCATGCATGAGTTCTTGATTAGTCGTTTCAGATTTTTTTTTCTTTTTTTTTTTCCTCCTAGTAAGTTGAGGCAGCCCCTCGAGAACTTTTTTGATGTGTTGACGGGCAGTTGTTGTTGTCGTCAGATAGCAGCAGACTTGTGCTCTCAGTTTAGTGTAGTTTGATGGATCTGTTGTGTAATCTGTCAAATTCCTTTCAGAGCTTCTTGATGTGAACAACCGTCAAGTCCGTTTGAACCCAACTCCCATATTATGCTAGTGGACTGCAGTGTGAAGCCTAAACAGTTGGAAAGAATAAACTCAAATGAAGGCTCTTTAAAATCTAATTTAAATCAGTTTAAATTGAGAGCAAGAGGCTTATGCTAAGTTGAGAAACAACGACCTTTTAATCTCAAATGTGCCACTGCAAGTTCAGAGTCACACATTCTGCATAGATTTCAAAAATGCAAATGTTTTCAGTCAAGAGTCAGAGATTTTTGAATGAACGCAAAGTTTCTCATTGAATTCTTTTAATTATAAGGGCTGTTTTGGGAGGTACTAGAGGGGCTCTTCCCATCCTAGTGCTACTTCTCTTTGTCATTGTTTAAATGTGCGAATTAAACTAAAATTCAGGAATTTTAAAATGACTTTTGGGGGTTGCATGCTGTAGTTTTCAAGATGGTTGCATTATATTTTTGCTTTTGCTTTGACACTTCAGTCTCTTGTCCCCCTTCGTCTGCTCCACTGACATGTCAATCTGCACATGTCTAGTTTTCTTTGGCTGTGCGCATAAACTAACACTTAACTTCTGAGCATGTTCAATGATTATGATTATGAAAGTACATGTAATGTCACCTTTGCGCAAAGTAAACCTAATTTATAAAATGGATAGACATTCTGTCTGGATGAGCCACAATAATAGCCGCACATTTTATATTATTGAGCCAAACTGCAATTGTCTGTGTGACCAAAAAAATTAAATTTGAATTTAAAGGCTCTTTCACACCAAGAACGATAACTTTACAATAACTATATTAGCATCAACATCAATGCATTGTAATGTTCAGTTTATTATAAGCGCATGCAGTAGGGCTGTCAAAATTTTTTTAGAATTTCGAATATTCTTCGAATAAAAAAAAAATCCACATTCGAATGCAAAAACGTTGCATTCGAATTTTAGGTCTGTGTCAGCCGTCAGGCAGCCTTATCAGTGGCGCGCGAAATGCGACGACAATGTAAGTGTCATTCACTATGCATCTAGTGGGTTCACTCCAGTTGAACCCACTAGATGCGGCACTGCTATTTTAAACATTATGCACTTTTTTTTCAAAGATTGTCATGTTATTTTATTACACTTTGAAGAAACTTGCATAATATTTTGCTCGATGTGCCCTCTTGTGGCCTCAGGAGAGAAGCCAAAAGCTTTTTTTCCCCCTAACTGAAATTATGCCTTTTAAATTAGAATATAATTCAAATTTTGATAATATTTAAGTGGAAAATTCGAATGTAGTTTTTCAGTAATTTTGACAGCGCTAGCATGCAGTTTTGTCGTCTGCAGTGTTAAATGCTTGACTTATTTAAAGTTGTTTGGATTCTGATTGGTTGTCAAAGTTTTTATTGTTCATCAGATGGAAAAAATAGTTTTGAGAGTGATTCCAACTGTTTCGTTATTATTATAGTGGTGGTGTAGACTTCCTTATTCTCAAAGAATTCGAACGATTATTAAAACTTTTTATTTCTCGTTATCGTTATAGGTATCATCATTGATGTGAATGAGCCTTAAATCAAACTTTTTAAACCTTGGTATCTTTTATCATATTGCTGTTTTCGGAGTTCACTAATAATAATAAACCCACACAAAACTGTTTGTTACAGTGATTTTACAACAGTTAAGGGTGTTTCACTTAGCGTCATCCCTAAGAACATCCTTTGCACTTGGAAAAATCACTGTAGCACACGGCCTTCATGGCTCATTGCTTCATTATACTAAGTATTCATGCTGCCTCTGATGCAATCCATTGTTTCTTTACCTATAGTTGACACATCAGATCATGTGCTGTTTGTTCCGTAGCTTTGCTCCAGACATGCAGTGAAATGCTGTAATGGGTCGGTGCACATAAACTCTGTCCTTACAAGTCTCTTGAAAATGGGTTTAGCAATGCACTGCAGCACCACTCAGCAAGACGCTACCAATGGCAGAGCATCAAGGCCGCGTGGAATGCAGCGGCACGCCCAGTGTAACCTCCGACAGGTTGATGACCCCTGAGAGAGATGACAGGGCAACATGCTGGAGAACTGCAAACTGATAGAAAGTCATCTTCGACTGGAGGGGAAAAAAACAGTCTGCCCAGCATGTTGCTCCTGAAGGAAAGAGAGAGAAAGAGGGAGAGAGAGAGAAGGGGGAGATAAAAGGGGAAGCAATATAATAGTTGATATAAAACGGGGGATGGTAAGAATAATAAGTGTCTCTGGAGAGCCGGAATGTGAAGAAGAAATAGAACAGGGAATAAAGAGAACGGAGGGGAAAAGGAACCGTGTGTGTGTTTGTGTGTGTATGTATGTGAGGAAGAGGATGAGATCATCGCAGTCTCCTGTCTAATGAGTGATGGGGTTGGGAGGCGTGCTGAACTGAGGCGGAGGGTTTGCTTCTCATGCCGGTGGAATCAATAGCATCTGCAGACTGGAAAACTGTTCCCACATTACTGCCTCATTGCCAACACTTCAGCCACGGATTACACACAGATCGTTTGTGCATTCGTACACTCCCTTACTTTCTTTCTCCATCTCCCACGTTCTGTCTCCCTACTATCTCTCTCTTCCCTCTCTCATGCGCTCTCTCTCTCTCTCTCTCTAGGCAACCCACACCCAGTGATTCTGTATCTTGTTTTTTTGTGTTTGACGGTAGGAGGGATGCTGCTGTGAATTCTTTTTTTGAATGTGTTTTAGACACATTTTTTTCTGTACCACAGGACGTGTGCTTTCTTGAATTTTTGGGGGGGAAACCTTGTGGAAAAGAGCTTACTCACAATGTTGGGCTTGGATGTTTGTGAATTTGGTGGACAGTTTCTTGAACTGCTCTGGTTAACAGTTTGCTATAGAGGTGAGAATGCATTTATGTTATCTATTATGAGGTAAAAATGTTGAAAACTGAAATTATATACAAAAAAATGCCTAAATATACTAAAATTAACTTGAATGTGTGCATTTGGAATGCTCTTCAAACTCCACAAAAAGACTTCAGATGATCTGCCAATTTAACAGTCCAACCCTAAACCTTCAGCTAAAGTAGTTTGAAGCTTATTATGCATGGTATTTAGAAGTTGTAATGTATCATAAAACCAATTGAAAATTACAAATACATTTTTAAAATCAAGTAGAAAGTCATATATGTGATCATTTTGTGTGATGACTTCCTCTGTGGATGTAGACATTTGTATTGTTGGCATGTGATGCACTTAAAACAAGCAAAGGTGGAATAATCAATATTTATTGATCGATCGGTTGTTGCTCTCACAACATTGCTTTGTGTGTGTGATCATCATGTTGCTTGTAATTACATGTCACAGATGTTGTTGATTCAGGGCTTCACTCTGCAGAGCTTCTGCTGACTGACACCAATCCAGTGTTTCTCACTCCCAATTTACCTCTTTATTGGCGTTTTCCACTCTCTTAGTGTCTCCATTTCACTTTGATATATCTATAAAGTAATGATGTGTGACAGATGACCACCTGTCTTTATGTGTACAGTGAAGAGTAAATGTGCATATCCCTGTGTGTTTTTGCTATCTGAGATTCCTATACAGTATGGCTTCTCCATAAGCATTCCCATTAATCTCAATGACAGTTGCTTGGATGACGCAAGACCCCACCCGGAAGTATGTGATGTTGTGCACAGGTGTGCAGTTTTGCTGGTGTTTTGAGCTGTTACCTGACTAATCGTTCTATGGACAGGGAAACGTATAAATATAAAATAAATTGAACTCTTTAAAGCACCCTTAAAAAACAAGTTTTCATGATATTTGAGACAATTTTTTGCAACTGGATGGTCTAGTTACAACATCTAATAGGGGCTAATAGGGCCATGCTAACCAAATAAATTGCAACCCGATTTCACAAGAAAACAATTATTTTTAAAAGTTGGAATTTCGTATGAATTTGTATGATGTAATTCTTATGAAAATGTGTGATTGGTAGTTAAAACAAAAAAATAAGTATGAACCTATACTTAAACCTAAACTTAGTGGGGCATGAGTAGGTTGTATAATGAGTACAAATTCATATGAATTCTAGTTTATTGAATTATTCTAGTTTAGTGAATTCTAATTTAGCAAAATGTAAAATAGTTATGAATTGCCACAAGACCATTGACAAAACCTAGATCCTAGTTCTGTATCTGACTCAAATCTGTTCGCTTTTTGTAGTCTGAATAGCAAAACAACACATCAAATCCAAAGTTTACAAATCCAATTCATTTCAAATCAATATGAAATCTGATTAAAATCTGTTATTTTGGAATGTCTTAAGGTGTGGTCACATTAGCGAAATTAGTGTTCAAAAAAGGTCTATTATCCATAGTCAGTACTGTAAAGATGTATTAAGCACTGCTCGCGCAGAAGTCCGTTTCAAACCAAGAAGCTTTCTGTTGGTCAGCATGGTAAAATCCCGACCCGACCAACTTGAACTTGAGCGAAATCCATGTGGTGAACTTTTTCCGCCCTCACACAAATCTCTTGATTGCGTGGATTTCTTTTGGAATTACTGGATTTCCCTTTTGAAATTTAACCAATCAATGGCAAATGTGACCACACCTTCGTATTGATACTTTGGATTTTGACAACACTGTATATTGATATACAGTGGTTCAGTCCTAAAGATCGGATTTGAAAACCAAACTGGATTTGTGTGCCAGAGTAGCCATTCTTATGAAAATGTGTGATTGGTAGTTAAAAAAAAAATAATAAGTATGAACCTATACTTAAACCTAAACTTAGTGGGGCATGAGTAGGTTGTATAATGAGTACAAATTCATATGAATTCTAGTTTATTTAATTATTCTAGTTTAGTGAATTCTAATTTAGCAAAATGTAAAATAGTTATGAATTGCCACAAGACCATTGACAAAACCTAGATCCTAGTTCTGTATCTGACTCAAATCTGTTCGCTTTTTGTAGTCTGAATAGCAAAACAACACATCAAATCCAAAGTTTACAAATCCAATTCATTTCAAATCAATATGAAATCTGATTAAAATCTGTTATTTTGGAATGTCTTAAGGTGTGGTCACATTAGCGAAATTAGTGTTCAAAAAAGGTCTATTATCCATAGTCAGTACTGTAAAGATGTATTAAGCACTGCTCGCGCAGAAGTCCGTTTCAAACCAAGAAGCTTTCTGTTGGTCAGCATGGTAAAATCCCGACCCGACCAACTTGAACTTGAGCGAAATCCATGTGGTGAACTTTTTCCGCCCTCACACAAATCTCTTGATTGCGTGGATTTCTTTTGGAATTACTGGATTTCCCTTTTGAAATTTAACCAATCAATGGCAAATGTGACCACACCTTCGTATTGATACTTTGGATTTTGACAACACTGTATATTGATATACAGTGGTTCAGTCCTAAAGATCGGATTTGAAAACCAAACTGGATTTGTGTGCCAGAGTAGCCAGAGAGGTTTGAAGCAGGATGATTCCAGTCGAGTTAAAGAAGGCTCACAAAACCGGTCCAAGAGACTAACTGATTTTCAGCTCTCTCTGCCCGACTGCAGGTGCTGACACTCTAAGACCCCCTGTGGCCCGGCAGAGCTGCATCACGACTCATTGAGCCTCAGCTGCTGCTGCACTGTGATGGATGGCTACACGTCGGAGACCTGACACATGTTTCAAGGAGTAAATCAATTAGATTGCATGTAGGAGAAACAGAGATTTCAAAAAGCTGACGTGTTTGTGCACCCTGTAGGGAAAGGCCATATGAATAAGGAAGTTCACGTGCATCATTTCGCTTCTCTACATGCTGTCAGGTGTTCAGCTGTGGTTTCTCAAATTACAGCTGCTATCTGATTAACAATCCTGAGGATTTGAATGTCACTTAGCCTAGCCCCCAACTTTTACATGTACTACTGCTCTTTTTCCCTCCAAATCAGTGCAAAAAAAAGAAACAAAGAAAGTATATAGATTTTGTCTGAGCCTGCATTATTCGTTTAATTTCCTCATATGTTTCTTTGACATCATCTTGTGAATAAGTATATTCCTGTTGCATTGTTTCAGTACATTACAGCCGAAACCTTCTGTGACAGTGTCAAATGGCTTGCAGCATTTTGTCTGTGAAAGTGTAGAATTGTGCAGATTTCTGGCCTGCTGTGGTTGGTGTTTGGTTCTTCTCCACTTTGCTCTCGGTTTGATTAGCAGAGAAGCTGCTTGGTGTCAAAGTAGTTGTGAAAGTGGAGGATTGTGAGGGTTGTAGAGTAGTTGAAAGTGTTAATATACAGGGAGAATTTAGTTACACCAGCTGCTGAGTTGGCTTCCATTTTAGAGCAAACTGTGCCCATAAATTCAGGCAAGATATTCAGACAAAAAATATTTACTATGACACGTTGTATTTTAACACATAACTGAGTGAACAACAGAGTCAGTGTTCTTGTGGTCCTTTTTGACATTTTTACATCCTGAGGGGTTTATTGGCCTTTTCAATGGTCTTGTATCTGACCCTGGCCTGGACTACAAAACCAGTCTTAAGTCGCTGGGGTATATTTGTAGCAATAGCCAAAAATACATTGTATGGGTCAAAATTATAGATTTTTCTTTTATGCCAAAAATCATTAGTACATTAAGATCATGTTCCATGAAGATATTTTGTAAATGTCCTACTGTAAATATATCAAAACTTAATTTTTGATTAGTAATATGCATTGCTAAGAACTTAATTTGGACAAATTTAAAGGCAATTTTCTCAATATTTAGATTTTTTTGCACCCTCAGATTCCAGATTTTAAAATAGTTGTATCTCTGTCAAATATGGTCCTATCCTAACAAACCATACATCACTGGAAAGCTTATGACTGGTTTTGTGGTCCAGGGTCACATATTCATTTTAGTCTAAAAAGGGTAAGGTTTGTGTGGTCTTTAGTGGGCCTTCCATTCATCTGCTGAAATTCCACCGAATATTTGGGTGTACAGCTGTTGTGTGTTGAGTATGAGAGACTGCAGTTTGTCAGCGCTGTTTGCTCATTCACACTGCACCTCATTAGCTGTGCATTGAAACCTGCAGCACACCATCAGACAAAAACCAGCATGCTATCCATCACAATGTAGCCAGGCATTTTGCCAAAAAAACCAAAGCATGTTGCCTTTGAAGCTCGAGATGCTGCACCTCACATATTTCACTCAGAAATGATATCTCTGGAGGGTGGGGAAAGCCAATTAAAAAAGCTAGTCAGATTATTCAAAGTATTATCATTGCTATTTAACACAGCTGAGCAAGGGTAATTACTGTCATTCTTCTCTTTGATAATAAAAATGACCTCTTACTAGTGGTCACTGTGAGAATGGGAGCGAGGCTCTAGTGTTCTTTAGAGCAGTGCTTCTCAATTGGTGGGCTGCGATAAAAAAAAATTGCTGCTGGTGTGTTCTGATAGGATCGTGGACAAGATACTGAGAGCATGAAACCATAAAAATGTGTTTATCATCAATTTTCTGTATAATCATGTCAATAATTTTGCATATTGTCAATCCTGTGTGGTAAAATTGGTCATATTCATTTCCATGTCTGATTTTTAAGGACATTTTTGTTAATGTTTGTACATTAAACAACTTTGGCACCATAAAATCTGGGTCCTGAAGCAAAACCAGTTGAGAACCACAAATGTAAAGGTTTTTAGGAGATGGCCTTTATTATTTTTTCTCTTTGAGTCACATTATGAACAACTGCAACTGATTAGCTGTTAGCTTGTGTACATTCAGAGGAGAACAGTGATGTTTACTGCTTTAATGTGCAATATTAATATGTCTCACATTGCAGTTTTGAGATGCCATCATCATTATGCAGAAAACATGCCCTGAAATGCCATGAAAATGTATCTATAATCATCCTTAACTGCTATCCCTCACTACATAGTTAATTTTGCTTGTAATTTAGAGAGAGAATCTTGGCATTGGCTCTTGGATATGCTTTAAATTGCCCAATTGGTCCAGTCATTTATTCATGGTGACCAGGCCTCCCTGTAGTGAATCTCAGCTCAGGGGATTTGATTTGTGTGTTCGGTGTGTGAGATATTTAATTGGTGTGCATTTTTTTTAGCAATATTTAAGCTATAATTGCACAGGGATAATTAACTAAATAGCCTTATTATGCACAGGATATTGGTCCAAAGGACTCCAGTGTACAAAACATGGCCACACTTGAGTAAAATATTGCAATGTTAATGCAGCAGTCAGTTCAGGGGTTTCCATTTTGCACAAGAGTTGACTATTGATTAATACACATTTATGCATAGCCAGATTTCCCCTCTCACACTTCATTACCACGTTCATCTGTACACATTCAGATTGTTTATTTCTCACTAATTAGTAGGTTAATTGGATCACTTTGTCTTCTGCAGCTGAAGTATACCATATGTCTCAACAGCATTTTGCACCCGTGTGCAGCTTCCTCATAAACCATAATCTGACCTAATTGTCCTTCCTCAAATTGTCTTCCTGGATAGTGTTTTTTTTTTTTTGCAGGTTCAGTTTATGTAGAGATACAGAATTTATTCCCCCATTTTTTCCTATCTTTTTGTTGGAGGAAATTGGCTCCCCATTTTATATACAGCAGCAGCATATGAGTGTCATGGTCCTTGAGCTACTGCTATATAATGCAAAAGGAGATGGTGGTATATTTTTATTAGATGGTATTGAGTGAAAATTGCTCTTATAAAACTAATGGCGTATTAGAGAGTGACCCTCAAAAACACCCTATTGATTCCATCAGATCAGATTTTATAGCCCCATCCTTCCATTATTGCATTTGCCTTCACGTTACAGCACTTAGGGTTTTTGTTCATAATGTAAAGAAGGTTCATCATCGCTCTTGATAATCGTTGGGAAGCAGGATGTACGCATGTTTCCATGGCTGCCGAGGCAGATCTGGCCTATAGACAGTGTCGACACACTGTACATAAAACCAGCTGGGGCAAACATATAAACCTGGGTGGGGGTGTTTCTGTCTTTTTTCTTTTTTTCATCCTCAGCTGTGTTCAGGAACATCCATCCTCTAAGGAGCTTCACTTGTTCTCACCCAGGCTAATGAAAGCGATTGTCATGTTTTAGAAGTTGTCCCTTCCCATGAATTTTGTAAACGTTGGGGTCCAGTGACTGTTTTTTTAATCTAGGGTGAAAACTAGCTAGTTATAAATCCATCAAATATCTGTACCCACCTTAAAGGGTTAGTTCACCCAAAATGAAAATTGGCTTGTGTTTTACTCACCCTCGAAGCATCCTAGGTGTATATGACTTTCTTCTTTCAGACGAATCCAGTCGGAGTTATATAAAAAGTTGTCCTGGCTATTCCAAGTTTTATCATTGCAGTCAGCGGGTGTTGCAATTGAACAGTCCACAAGTCGTCAAATAAAGCGCGTGCATTCATAATAAAACGTGCCTCACACGGCTACGGGGGGTGAATAAAGGCCTTCTGTAGTGAATCCATGCGTTTTTGTAAGAAAAATATCCATATTTCAAACGTAATAAACACTTTTATATCACTTCCGCCAACTGTCATACGTGGAAGCCGTTCCGCCGGATGACCTAGCACGTCGGCGTTGCGTGATAAGTGACGAACGCGGAGAGACAACAAAACAAAACGCCGGTCACGAATTGGAAGTACTAACCGAAGATTTGCAAAGAAAAATGTCGGAGGACTTCGATATAAGCTAAGAGGAGGCTGGTTTTCCTTTGCTAAAGTAAGGAAATTTGCTTCGTTTGCTCCTATAAACAAACTCGCGAGACTAGCATATCTCAGAGGCGCGCGCGCTGGGCATACGTCATA